GACTGCGGGTGGTAGAACAGCCAGTCAGACGAGTCCAGGGGGAAACCGAGGAAGACACAGGGGACAGTGCGGGCAGTGAGCTTGTCCGTGCCAGAGGCACGAACGTGAGCAAGGCAACCCCAGACGTGGAACGCAGACGCGTCACCGGGGGACCCGGTCCAAAGGAGGGTCGGCGAAACCTGCGGCCGCTGGGAGCGTGGCCACAAGTTAAGCTGGTGAGCAGCGTAGCGAACAGCGAACGGCCACAGAAAATGGGGGCATCGGCATGAATCATGGAGGTACGAGCAACCTCCATGACCAAGCCGATGCGGCGCTCAGCAACCCCATTCTGCTTGGGAGTCCGGCAAGGTGTACGACTGGGTGATGCCCTCCGCACGACAGAACTTGTCCAAGCCGACCAGAGGCGAACTCGCCGCCACGGTCAGGAGTGGAGACACAGCACGAGGAGACCGCGGTGAAGACGCGCAGCCACAACCCACGGGAGAAGAACGTCGGGCACGTCGGCCTTCCGCTCCAGGGGAAACACCGTGGTGTAGCGCGTGTAGTCGTCGACGAGCACAAGAAAGTAGCGCTCACCGCGCGGTCCGGGGACGGGGGCTGGGCCCCAAACGTCCAGGTGCAGGGTCTGAAGGGGAGCAGTAGCAGGGCGAAGCGAGGAGGAGTGAGGGGCACGGCGGAGCCGGCCCTCGACGCAAGGCGTGCACGGTGGCGCAGTCGAGGGGGGAAGTGCGGGGAGCGACTCGGGGAGGCCTAAGACAAGACCGTGCTGAGACATGTGACGCAGGCGCGGGAGAGCAGGGTGACCTAAGCGTGGTGCCACAGAAGGACGGGTGTGTGAGGGACCGACACGAGCAAGCTGCAGCGACCTGGGAGGACGCACCAACCGGGGGGAAGCGGTGTCGAGGGTAAATAGACCGGACACCGGGTCCCGGGGGAACGTCGCAAGGGGGGAACCTGAGACTGCCTCGGTACAGACAGCGAACCGCTCGTGCCCAGGAACGTAGTGGTGACGCCGAGGTCCTGAAGACGGCCGACACCAACCAGGTTCCTGGAGAACGAGGGAACGTGGAGGCCTGTAAGAGAGCCCGAGGGAACGGCTGGACAGGGAAGGGAAGTGGAGCTGCGAGCGACGACAGGTCCCGCGGAGGGGTCAGCGAGACGACAACAGCAGGCGCAGCAAGCGGCGTGAGCGTGGAACGGTCGCGGAAGAAACAGGCAGAAGCACGGAGTCGAGAGTGAAGGACAGGAGGCAGTAGCGGAGGCGGGAACGAGCCGGTGCAGAAACTAGGCTAGGCAAACTAGGCAGTCCTACGCCTGACGCAGCAGGGGAGGCTAAGCTACACAAAGGTGCTACGCCTAAACTAGAGTACACAGGGTAATAAGATCCAGCAACACTAGAAGCGTCAGCATACAAGGCATGCAAAGCAAGCACCTATCTGATCCATATCTAAATCAAAGATCGGCACGACTCTGGCGAAGCAGGCTGTGCCAGTCGGGGAGGTCCGGGGCCGGGCCAAAGCGACGACGAAAGAGATCGTCGAGGCGGCGAAAACAGCGGGGCGGTCGGTGCGGGCGGCGGCACAGAGTGCCGCGGAGAGGCCCGGTCTGAAGCTGGTACTGGCAGGTCACACCAACGGAGCTGCCGGTAGACGCCAAGCTGCGCGGGCCGCCACCACGGCCACCACCTACGGAGGTGCCGGGCCAACCCGGGGGAGACGAGCCCACGGCGGGGCTGGGACAGCTGCTGCGACGACTGCGACTGCTGCTGGCGGCTGCTCCTGCTGCTGGGGCGACGGCTGCTGCTCCTGACTAGCTGAGGCAGTCCCCTCAGTAGAACCACTGTCCCCGGTACCACCACTACTACACCAGCTCCACCACCACGCCCTCCCTGGCGGCCACGACCGGCGCGGCGCGAGCGCTGCTGCGGTACCGCAGCTGCAGTCTCGGTCAGAGGGGTCGCAGTGGCGACCGCAGCCGAAACGTCAGTAAACGTGCACTGGGAGGGGGCACAGCCGTGAAAGATAGAGACTGCCGGCGCACCGCTCGACTGAGCGATAGTGCGCTGGCGAGTTCTCGATTCTCGTCAGGGCGGTGACAAAGGCTGGCAGGGTGAGATCACCCGGGTGCTGGCTAAGAATGTGGTGCGTGCACTAGCAAGGCGGTCAGGCAGGCGCATAGCGATAAAGTAGAGGGTCATGCAGAAGGGGGGAGGGAGTGCAGTGAGCTGGGCAGCAGTGCTAGCAGTGCGGTAGCGAGACTCTAGGGCGCGCAGGTGAGTGGCAAGGTCAGCAACAGTAGGGAAGGAAGCAAGGTCTGGGAAAAGCATAGGGAAGAGCAGGCGGCCTGCAGTAGCGGAGGCAGGCGTGGAATAGCGAGCAACAACAGCATCTAAGTAAGCCTTGGCTGTATCAACTGTAGCAAAATGCGAACGCTCAGACACAGGGAGGGCGTGACTGATAGCGACCTGAGCAACTGCATCGCGAGAGTCCCAGACGGCACAGGCAAGTGCAGCAGCGGAGAAAGTCTCACGCTCAGCAGAGGTGGGGTCAGCAGGGAGGGGAGCAGGCGCAGGGGGGCGGGGGAGCAAGCCATCAGCATGGACAACCAAGGAGTGCCCATCCTGGCGCTGACCTGTGAGTTGACGGCGGAGATCGGACAGCCAGGCGGCGAAGTCAACCGTGGCCCTCAGCGTCCAGGCGGAGGACGAAGTCAGCCATCGTGCAGGGTCAGCGACACAGGGACACAGCGGCACAGCTCCACAGGACACAGCGGCATAGGGACACAGCAGCACAGCTCCAGGGGGACGTTTGCAGGACGCTCTAGCGCTGGCAAGCAGAAGACACGAGGCCGGAGACTCGAGGAACCGTGCCGAGCAGAAGACACGAGCCGGAGGAGCCGAGAGGCACTGGGACGGGAGGGGCAACAGGCCGGGCGGGCGCTAGAAGGGGCCGGGCGAGCACTAGGAGGGGCCGGGCGGGCGCTGTGGAGAGGCCGGGCGGGCTAGGAGGGGCCGGCTAGGGGCGGACGCGACGGCCAGGGGGCCGGCTAGGAGCGCGGCGACGGCCAGGGGGCTGGCTAGGGGCGGGCGCGACGGCCAGGGGGCCGGCTAGGGGCGGGCGCGACGGCCAGGGGGCCGGCTAGGGGCGGGCGCGACGGCCAGGGGGCCGGCTAGGGGCGGGCGCGACGGCCAGGGGGCCGGCTAGGGGCGGACGCGACGGCCAGGGGGCCGGCTACGGGGCCGGACGCGACGGCCAGGGGGCCAGCTAGAGGCGGGCGCGACGGCCAGGGGGCCGGCTAGGGGCGGACGCGATGGCCAGGGGGCCGGCTAGGGGCGGACGCGACGGCCAGGGGGCCGGCTAGGGGCGGGTGTGACGGCCAGGGGGCCGCTAGGGGCGGGCGCGACGGCCAGGGGGCCGCTAGGGTGGACGCGACGGCCAGGGGGCCGGCTAGGGGCGGACGCCGACGGCCAGGGGGCCAGCTAGGGGCGGGCGCGACGGCCAGGGGGGGGGCGAGCTAGGGACGGGTCACGAGGGCGGCTAGGGCCTAGGGCGGAAGCGTGGGCGGCGAGAGGAACCTAACCTACTCATGATACCATGTTAGAAAGAGAGAATGAATAGACTAGTGTGAGAAACCTAGAACATGTACCTGTTGGGGTTGTACTCACTAGAAGCACACACCTAGACTAGCCTATAACTTCTACATACAGCATATGTATAAGTTGACACCGTGTCCCGTGTCCCGTGTCCCGTGTCCCGTGTCCCGTGTCCCTTGTCCGTGTCCCGTGTCCCGTGTCCCGTGTCCCTGTGTCCTGTGTCTGTCCTGTCTCATGTCCGTCTTGCAAAGCATGGAATGTCTAACCAAGGCTCGATACGCTGCTTGGGAGAGATAGGTGGTGTGGCGTGGTGGCGTGGTGGTTCCTGGTGATGGAAGGCCTTTCTCACCATACACTGAAGTGCAAAGGTGGAAACAATACTTGTAGCTTCTCCACCTAGTATTTACAAAACACAATTCAAGCCGTACCAAGATCTCGTGCCCAAGCACAGGGGGTTTTGAATTAGGTGTCAACAAGAGTCGTCTTTATAGCTTGAGGCATTTTACCAAGCATCATTTGCTTCACTGGGCATTTACCTACACACATAAGCAAAAGAAAATTAGTTTCTTCCCCTTGCAAGCCAGCGAAAGAAACTGCTGAGTATTTGTTGAAGTGCTCACCGGCAATTTCCAGAAGCCTCTCCTTTTGTTCTGCAGAAAGGGGTCCTTCTAAGCGTAACAACAAGCGTAGGCCTTCCCGGTAACCTTCCATCTGAAGAATGGAAGGGAAATCAGTATGCATAGAGGCAACAGTGGGGAAGTGGAGTGAGAGAAGTGGCCGGACATATAGTGCACGGAACCTGGCCGCATGAGGTTGGGAGGGGGAGGGCAGGATATTTTTTAAGCGCCTCAAAAATAGCGGCAACAGAAAAGAAGTGGAGTGAGAGAATTGGCCGGACATATAGTGCACGGAACCTGGCTGCATGAGATTGGGAGGGGGGAAGGCAGGGTAAGTTTTAGGTGCTTAAGAATAGGGGCAACAGAAGTGAAGTGAAGCGAGAGAATAGGCCTGACATTTAGTGCACGGAACCTGGGAGCATGAGGTTGGAGGGGGGAGGGCAGGATATTTTTGAGGCGCCTTAAAACTCAAAGGCAACAGAAATGAAGTGGAGTGAGAGAAGTGGCCGGACCTTTTAGTGCACAGAACCTGGCCGCATGAGGTTGGATTGTGGAATGTTTATTCCATTAATGGTTGAAATTCGTGTGAAGGAATTGGCCGACAGTGGAGTGAATGCAAGTAGTAGTACCACTGAAGGCATGGCATATTGAATAAGAGGCACAGAGACAAACGAAAACGACCAGAGGGGAGGGGTAAAACAACGGGGGTTGTGGGGTAAAAACAAAAGGGGGCCGGGCGGGAGGTGCAAGGGTGAGGAGGAAGGCGGGAGGTGCAGCTCACGAGGTAACGGGTGGTTGGTTCCACTGTAACAGCGATGCGAGTCAGACGCCGCTGCTTCCGATTCTAGCTTTGAGGCGCCTCAAAACAGCGATGTGAGTTAGAGGCAGCTGCTTACGATTTTTGAAACATCTCAAAACTGAATGGAAAGGTGAAGTAATGAAGAGGGGTGTGGAGCTCACGAGGTAACGGGGTGGTTGGTTCCACCGTAACAGCGATGTGAGTCAGAGACCACTGCTTCCGTCCGCGTACTGCAGGCGATGGCAAAAGGAAGGCAGGAGGGCGTGGGGAGAGGGTATGAGGCAGGAGGGGATAGCGGTTGGTTACTGTAACAGCGATGTGAGTCAAAGGCCACTGCTTACGATCAGCGTACTGCAGGCGATGGCAAAAGGGAAGGGAGGGAAGGGAGGGGAAGGGAGGGGAAGGAAGGGAAGGAAGGGGAAGAGAGAGGAAGGAAGGGGGAGGGAGAGGAAGGGAGGGAAGGAAGGGGAGGGAGAGGAAGGGAGGGGAAGGAAGGGGGAGGGAGAGGAAGGGAGGGAAGGAAGGGGAGGGAGAGGAAGGGAGGGGAAGAGAGAGGAAGAGAGAGGAAGAGAGAGGAAGGGAGGTGGAGCAGTCACGGGAGGAACAGGGAATGGAGGTTGGTCGCAGCACAGTAACAGCACAGCAATGTGGGTCAGGGGGGCGGATGTCAGCATGCGATGATGATTAATGGACCCACCTTCATGTCAGGCAGAGGACCCACCTTCATGTCAGGCAGAGGACCCACCTTCCGGATCAAACGGGTTGGTTGTGGTCTCTTTGTCATGTCATGTCATGTAATGTCATGTCATGTCATGTCATGTCATGCCATGTCATGTCATCATCGACATCTCACAAGACGATAGGTGTGGGAGGAATACACCAACCAGCTTCAACAGCGCGGCTGACACACCTTCCGTACAGCTCCCCCTTCCACCTGTGATGAGTCGATTCTCGAGGCGCCTCAAACATTGACCCACCACACTCACATAGCCGGTCGGAACGCTTATGTGGAGGAGTACTTAATGTGCTTAGCATGACACAGTGGGTATTAAAGACAGATAGTTGAGAAGACTTATGTACTTAAGAATGATTGCCTACCAGTCTGACGGTGGCAGCGCTGCACACAGCAACTGCAGCTGCTGCAGAGCCCTTCGTAACCCCGTGGACCAGCCTTGCATCCAATCGGTACCTCATGGGACATATTAACAAGGTAACCTTTGAGTCGACTCAAAAGTCACCACGCTGCATAGAAAATCGCAACCACATAAAACAAGCCTGGCCATCCACCCTGTAGCTCACAGCGAACCAGCCCCCCACCTGCCGGCCTCACAGCAAACCAGCCCCCCACCTACCAGCTTCACAGCCAACCAGCCCAGCACATACCAGCCTGGCAATGGAAGCAGTGCACATGGCAACTGCTGCTGCGTAGTCCATCGCAATTCACCTCGGTATATCAGCCTAAGCTACCCACTCCGTAGCTCACAACCAACCAGCCCCTAAACCTACCAGGCGCATGGGGTGGCGGTGATGCACATGGCGATTGCTGCTGCACAGTCCTTTGCAAACCACTTGGTATACCCCGGCCTACCCCACCAACCCGCTCACCATCTCATCTTATGCTGTACCTTCCCACATTTTTTTACCATAATCCCTATGATGTTACTGTGCCCATGACATTCTATATCCCAACAAACGATTCTAAAAAAAAAACGTCACCCTTTGTATGTGTCTACTAAGATGAAAAGCTGCAACTACACTGTAACCGAAGCTGCCAGTCATCGACATTATCGGATCAACGGATACAGAGTGAGTGCGCTGTGTCCAACCCATTCATACTGGTTTATTTGTCACGACATAAACCGACAAACAAACATTAACATGTAATGGCTGGCAGACACACTCACCCCACGACCGTTAATCCCGATATTGCCGATGATTCGCAGCTTCGGAACGGTGCAATTGCACCTTCTCACGAAGTCCAACTCCGAACTCACATAGGAAGGGTGGCGATTTATTTAAGAATGATTGACTTGCATCTATTTGGGATAAAGATGACAATAACACGGCCCGTTGGATGCAAGGATGTGAACTGATAGATTTTAAGAACACATAACACAGTAAAAAGAAAGAAAGAAAGAAAAAAGCAATGAGAGACAAGGAAAGGAAGGGGTTTACCAATTCCACAGCAAAACAGCCCCACCACCCCCACGCAGCCAAAAAAAAACCAGCCACAACTTAGAGCAAAACAACCCGCCACTTACTAATCTGACAGTGGTGGCTGTGCACATGGCAACTGCTGCCGCTGCATAGTCCATGGGGCTGGAGGGGGGGAGACGGGGGAAGGAGTGGAACGTGTATTAAAATGCATGTACGTTTCTATATATAAATAGAAGTATATATATACATATCTATACATCTACTGTGTACTCCTGCGCGTGGCGAATGCTGCTGCTAGCGTACTCCACGGGGCTAGAGGAGGGGAGAGAGGGGGTAGGTGTGGAACATATAATTCTTACGTACAGATGTGTATGTGTGTATGCATCTGTGTACATGTATGTACATGAATATTTTGAAGTCTACACTGCACAGCATATGCCAGCTGCTGCTGTCGCTGCGTAGTCCCGACCAATGGGATTGCAGGAGGGGAGAGAAGGCGCGAAGATAGAACATGAACTCACATTCAAAACCACATTCACTCTTGCACTCCGCAGCCCACTAAGTTCTGCCTTAAGTTTTGAGTCATCTCAAAACTGAACTACTGAGTGCCTCGCGGCGGAGAAAGGCCCACTCAGCAGAATCACGTTGGTAGGGCATAAACGCCTGAAAGAAAGAAAGGCAGGCAGTCTCCCTTCATCCCCATCCTCGTCTATCCCTTTTCTCCCCTGCTCTACCCTAACCGACTCTAATCCCCTCCCCCCGTCTCTCCCTTCCCCATCCCCTTCTCCTCCTTCCCCCCGCCCTTTTTATTCCCCATCCTCGTCTCTCCCTTCTCTCCCTCTGCGACACCCTAACTGACTCTCTCACCCACTCCCCCCATCTTACGTGGGTGCTGTGCCCCCAACACCATTGGTCAGGGCTAAGTCACTGGTAAACGAGAAGCCCCCTTCCACTGCTGCTGTCACGAGGTCATAAGCCACTGCAGTCCCTGTTTCCAGAACTCTTCTCCTTCCCCCTCTTACGTGGGTGCTGTGCCCCCAACACCATTGGTCGGGGCCAAGTCACTGGTAAACGAGAAGCCCCCTTCCACTGCTGCTGTCATGCGGTACTTGTGTGCAGGCTGCAGGGAGGAAGGAGGAGAGGGGGGGTGGAATGGTGGTGAGAAGGACATATATGTTGAGGCACCTCGGAAGTCATTGGCAAAGGAGAATCCCCTTCCACTTCTGCTCTAGCGTGGTACTCGAGTGCAGGCTGCAAGGAGGAAGGAGAAGAGGGGGGGGGGAGAGGCGTCACTCAATAACTGAGCCCTAGCTTAAAGGTGGGAGAGCGGTTTTTGAGGCGCCTCAAAAGCGGAGGAAGGAGAAGAGGGGGGGAGAGGCGTCACTCAATAACTGAGCCCTAGGCTTAAAGGTGGGAGAGCGGTTTTTGAGGCGCCTCAAAAGCGGAGGAAGGAGAAGAGGGGGGGAGAGGCGTCACTCAATAACTGAGCCCTAGCTTAAAGGTGGGAGAGCGGTTTTTGAGGCGCCTCAAAAGCGGAGGAAGGAGAAGAGGGGGGGAGAGGCGTCACTCAATAACTGAGCCCTAGCTTAAAGGTGGGAGAGCGGTTTTTGAGGCGCCTCAAAAGCGGAGGAAGGAGAAGAGGGGGGGGAGAGGCGTCACTCAATAACTGAGCCCTAGCTTAAAGGTGGGAGAGCGGTTTTTGAGGCGCCTCAAAAGCGGAGGAAGGAGAAGAGGGGGGGGAGAGGCGTCACTCAATAACTGAGCCCTAGCTTAAAGGTGGGAGAGCGGTTTTTGAGGCGCCTCAAAAGCGGAGGAAGGAGAAGAGGGGGGGGAGAGGCGTCACTCAATAACTGAGCCCTAGCTTAAAGGTGGGAGAGCGGTTTTTGAGGCGCCTCAAAAGCGGAGGAAGGAGAAGAGGGGGGGAGAGGCGTCACTCAATAACTGAGCCCTAGCTTAAAGGTGGGAGAGCGGTTTTTGAGGCGCCTCAAAAGCGGAGGAAGGAGAAGAGGGGGGGGAGAGGCGTCACTCAATAACTGAGCCCTAGCTTAAAGGTGGGAGAGCGGTTTTTGAGGCGCCTCAAAAGCGGAGGAAGGAGAAGAGGGGGGGGAGAGGCGTCACTCAATAACTGAGCCCTAGCTTAAAGGTGGGAGAGCGGTTTTTGAGGCGCCTCAAAAGCGGGGAAGGAGAAGAGGGGGGGGAGAGGCGTCACTCAATAACTGAGCCCTAGCTTAAAGGTGGGAGAGCGGTTTTTGAGGCGCCTCAAAAGCGGAGGAAGGAGAAGAGGGGGGGGAGAGGCGTCACTCAATAACTGAGCCCTAGCTTAAAGGTGGGAGAGCGGTTTTTGAGGCGCCTCAAAAGCGGAGGAAGGAGAAGAGGGGGGGGAGAGGCGTCACTCAATAACTGAGCCCTAGCTTAAAGGTGGGAGAGCGGTTTTTGAGGCGCCTCAAAAGCGGAGGAAGGAGAAGAGGGGGGGGAGAGGCGTCACTCAATAACTGAGCCCTAGCTTAAAGGTGGGAGAGCGGTTTTTGAGGCGCCTCAAAAGCGGGGAAGGAGAAGAGGGGGGGGAGAGGCGTCACTCAATAACTGAGCCCTAGCTTAAAGGTGGGAGAGCGGTTTTTGAGGCGCCTCAAAAGCGGAGGAAGGAGAAGAGGGGGGGGAGAGGCGTCACTCAATAACTGAGCCCTAGCTTAAAGGTGGGAGAGCGGTTTTTGAGGCGCCTCAAAAGCGGAGGAAGGAGAAGAGGGGGGGGAGAGGCGTCACTCAATAACTGAGCCCTAGCTTAAAGGTGGGAGAGCGGTTTTTGAGGCGCCTCAAAAGCGGAGGAAGGAGAAGAGGGGGGGGAGAGGCGTCACTCAATAACTGAGCCCTAGCTTAAAGGTGGGAGAGCGGTTTTTGAGGCGCCTCAAAAGCGGGGAAGGAGAAGAGGGGGGGGAGAGGCGTCACTCAATAACTGAGCCCTAGCTTAAAGGTGGGAGAGCGGTTTTTGAGGCGCCTCAAAAGCGGAGGAAGGAGAAGAGGGGGGGAGAGGCGTCACTCAATAACTGAGCCCTAGCTTAAAGGTGGGAGAGCGGTTTTTGAGGCGCCTCAAAAGCGGAGGAAGGAGAAGAGGGGGGGGAGAGGCGTCACTCAATAACTGAGCCCTAGCTTAAAGGTGGGAGAGCGGTTTTTGAGGCGCCTCAAAAGCGGAGGAAGGAGAAGAGGGGGGGGAGAGGCGTCACTCAATAACTGAGCCCTAGCTTAAAGGTGGGAGAGCGGTTTTTGAGGCGCCTCAAAAGCGGAGGAAGGAGAAGAGGGGGGGGAGAGGCGTCACTCAATAACTGAGCCCTAGCTTAAAGGTGGGAGAGCGGGGCCGATGGGAGCAGGGAGGCGGGAATGGGTGGTGCGGCTGAGGAATAAAAGTGCAACGCTGGAAGGTGCTGGAAGGTGCTGGAAGGTGCTGGAAGGTGCTGGAAGGTGCTGGAAGGTGCTGGAAGGTGCTGGAAGGTGCTGGAAGGTGCTGGAAGGTGGAAAGATAGGGGATGTGGGTGGAAGGGGAGGGGGCACGGAAGGGGGAATAGTTGGGGCAAGGATGTAACGGAAAAAGGGAGTATTCTCCCTCTCAGCATGAGCTATCAACAACACTTGCTCTTGGCTTCGGGGCGAGCGGGTTGACAAAAACAACTGTCCCCTCCCATCCCCCCTCCCCCCCTTCCCCAACCCCCCTCCCCCCGGCCTCCTCTTGCGCCCCACAAGTTCCCCACGTTCCCACGTGGCTTACATCTCCTTCCCCCCTTCCCCCTATCCCCAAAATGACCTCCACAGTCCACACCCCCGCAATCACCTTCGCCTCTTCCACCGCAAATTCGTCTATCTCGTCCCCCCCTTCTCCCTTCCCCTTCCCCCTTCCCCCTTCCCCTTCCCCCTTCCCCCTTCCTTCCCTTCCCCCTTTCCCCTTCCTTCCCCTTCCTTCCCCCTCCCTTCCCTCCCTTCCCCTCCCTTCCCCCTCCCTTCCCCCTCCCTTCCCCCTCCCTCCCCTCCCTTCCCCCTCCCTTCCCCTCCCTTCCCCCTCCCTTCCCCCTCCCTTCCCCCTCCCTTCCCCTCCCTTCCCCCTCCCTTCCCCTCTCCCCCCCTTCCCCCTCCCTTCCCCTCCTTCCCCCTCCTTCCCCCTCCCTTCCCCCTCCCCCCCCCCCCCCCCTTCCCCCTCCCTTCCCCCCTCCCTTCCCCCTCCCTTCCCCCTCCCTTCCCCTCCCTTCCCCTCCCTTCCCCCTCCTTCCCTCCTTCCCCCTCCCTTCCCCTCCCTTCCCCTCCCTTCCCTCCCTTCCCCCTCCCTTCCCTCCCTTCCCCCTCCCTTCCCCCTCCCTTCCCCCTCCCTTCCCCCTCCCTTCCCCCTTCCCCTTCCTCCTTCCCCCTCCCTTCCCCCTCCCTTCCCCCTCCCTTCCCCCCCTTCCCCCTCCCTTCCCCCTCCTTCCCCCTTCCCTTCCCCCCCTTCCTTCCCCCTTCCCCCCTTCCTTCCCCCTTCCTTCCCCCTTCCTTCCCCCTTCCTTCCCCTTCCTTCCCCCTTCCTTCCCCCTTCCTTCCCCCTTCCTTCCCCCTTCCTTCCCCCTTCCTTCCCCCTTCCCCCTTCCCCTTCCCCCTTCCCCTTCCCCCTTCCCCCTTCCGTCGTCACCGCCACACGCTCCCCCCCCAGCGCAGAACCGCCCACCCACTGCGGTTGGTTATTGAGAATTCTCAAAACCCGCTGACTCACCGTCTCCTCTTCCACCGCGATTTTCACCCTCTCGCCCCCCTCCTTCCCCTTCCTCACCAAACACCCCCGCACCCCCCCGCTCACCGTCTCCTCTTCCACCGCAATCTTGTGCAGAAATCTGCGCGGCTCCCCCCACGCGAATCCCACCCGGTGCAGCTCCGCCCATCCGCGCGGAAATCCCCCGCCGCCTACCCTTCCGCTTGCGCCCGCGCGCCAGTGCAACCCAGCGGAGGCACCACTGGCAGCGGCGCTGCTCGGTGCACACCGCGAGACGAGCACTCGCGCAGCGTCCGCGCGAACGCGCCATAGATGCTCCTGAGCGCGAATACGGTTGAGTAAAATTAAGGTCGACGCGTCTGAGTGCGCTCGGCTCAAGCCGGAGCGGTGGTTTGTGTCAAGCAGCTCGGAGTTCAGACGCGTCTCGGGAGCATTCACGGCCTCGCCTGGACTAACGAAATCGATAAGCGGACGAAATCCGCTCAGATGGGAAAAGATCGGTGGAGATTGAAGGGTTATGTGGAAAGCCCGTGATAGGCGCTGAGCGGACCGCGCTGTGCCAGCCATTGTGGTGGCAATGGTTGGAACAGAAATGGCTGAAACAGGTGTGCTTGATGCAGCCAAACCTCGGAATGAATCAGCGAGGCTGGAAGCATTCTAGGTGAACCATGAGCCTCTGAGTTAAACTAAAAATTGCCGAACCGTTGTGGGAGTACGCAACTTGTAACAGCCAAAGGCCAAGGGAAAGCTCAGTCGGGAATTCTGGCTTGAATGTTGCCTGAAAGAACGTTGTAGGTGACACTTCCCAGTCTCGAGTTTCGGCTAGAAAGCACAATGATTTCATGTTCAGGTCCAGTTTTCGCTTCCGAGGTTCGCTTCGGGCAGATTTGCACCCTGATCCTCTAATTGTAGGGAAGGAAATCGTTCGCGGCTTGCTTCGCATAGCTGATTTCATTTCTGTGTCATTTGCACCTTCACGGCTCGAAAACAGCTGTGCGTTCTCCCAGGTTACGTGCACGTCACGCTAACGCAACCTACAACACACTTTCTGTTTGGTCCACGAAGTCTCGATCCATCCGTTCGTTGCAATATCGTACAGTACGAGGCTCTCCGTTCTCTGCTTTCCTTCCCTTGGAAAGGCACCACTGCACCAGCACCAGCGAACCTAACCAGCACCAGCGAACCTACCCAGCACGGGGTTCATTCGTTCGCACGCGTCGGCTCGGTACGGCACGGGTCAAGGGAGGTTTGCTCGGGAAGGCTGACGCGTTCCCCCAAGCGCTGGCAATCTGGAGGTTGCGGGTCGAATGAACAAAGCGAAATCCTCTCGACGTCCTCTGCGTGTATGTTCTCGTCACAAGTACACATTCAGAAGCCATAGCGTTCCGAGTTCAGTGCATTTCATTAGTGTCGGAGGAACGCTTGACTGTCAGAAGTTCGTTCCCCCGCAACCCACATATCTCCTTAGTGACATCCGTCATGAGCCACCGACGCGGTTCTCTCACTTCCCTAGGACGTCGTTTGTCCGCCTTCACTAGTAATGCCTTCGGCAGGCGACTCGGAAGCCGAAGGGACTCTGAATCTATCCGCAACTACCATTGCCGCTCTGAGTATCCCATCCACTCCAATTCCGATTACGATCCGTACGATGACTTATCCGACTCTGAATCTTCCCACTCCGCGGAGTCCGCCGCGCCCGATATCATCCCTTCCACGCTGCTTGCCCCATCCTTCGCCCCGTCCGCGTCGCAATTTTGCGAAGTCGCGTCGGCCTTCCAAACGGGCTTCGGAGGCACGCTTCCGCGCATTCCTGGCGACATAGTCGAGAAGATCGTCGAGCGCGCAGACTACAAAGTTAGGGATATAACGGTTCAGCGGGAGAGAATGAGCGGTGGGGACTGGGAAGAGACGTATGTGGTCTCGCAGCCAGTGGATTTCGGAAAAGGATGGATTAAGGAGATTAAAGTGGACGCTGAAGCTCATGACCAAGGGTACGTCATGAGTCTGCCATCGCAACCCTTTGTTCGGGTTTCTTTTTATGATACCAGCAGTCTCCCATTTGTTTTTTCCTCATTTTGCTTCGTCAAGAGGCGATATTGCTTCTGATTAAAACATCGTCGCTTTTGGCGACGTTCGTTAACTTTTGATCTATCCGCCTTTCTTGCATTTTCATCATTCGTTATCTCCGATCAGCTGGAGCAGTTACCCCGAAAATCACAACACCTACGACAAAGTCCTGGACCTACGCCGAGCTCGTTCGAATATTACCTCACGGCTCGTTCGCCTCTCTTCGCTTCAGGCATTTTGTGTCCAGTCCGTCATCACAACCCAACCCCCCACTTCCCCCCCTTCCCCCCCTTCCCCCCCTTCCCCCTTCCCTTGCCCGTTTGCCATTGTTCAGCTGGAGCAGTTACCCCGAAGATCACAATACCTACGACAACTCGTGGACCTACGCCGAGCTCATCCGAATATTACCTGACGGCTCGTTCGCCTCTCCCCGGGAGCAAATCTATCGCAACCTTCACGCGGATAGGCATTGGCAGCATCATTCTAAGTCGTGGACTGCTCAATCGCTCTTTGTGCAGTCGCTAAACGCGGGGGATAAGGTCGCAGTTGTGTTGCGAGCGCAGTATCCCGGGTGGGTCCACTATGTGAAGTGGGCGAGGGTGGAGATAGTGTATTCGACGCCATTGCTGTAGTAGGCTAGTAATGAATGTGATAATAATCTTGTTTTTAGACGTCTCAAAACACGTAGGCTAGTAATGGACTCAGAAAGGATAGGTGCCACCATTTTTATGTGCAATCAATCATATTCCCACAATCGCAGTCTCTATTTTTTCTAAGCTCGTCATCATTATCACAGGATGACCGTTTGCTTGAGGGTTGTGAGATTCCCTGCTGGCTTGAATCTAGCCGTTCGGGCGCGTTCGGAAGCCGTTCCGTGGTGCCAACAGCGTTTCTAGTGAGCAAAAAAAGAAAAAGAAAAAAGCGAACCTCCAACATTTGAACTAAGGATGGGGCGACTTTGTTTCGAGTTGTGGTGAGATGTGGAGGTGAACCGAAGTCGTAAAGTAGGTCGAACTTCGCTCCTAAAAACAGACCCTCAAAAGTCGCAATTACGGATTTCTCGTTCTCAAGCAGAATTTCACCACTGCATCGAAGTTTGATGACCAACTAGTGGTTTTCAGATATCAGGCTGACTGGTCTCTGCGTGATGGAGGAACGGATATCGCGGCTCGATTCTGGGTTAAGATGGCTCAACGCGCTTCCCGCGGCCGAGGCGAACGAGGCGTTCATTCGCTGCTGCGGATCGAAGAGATTCGCGTCTAGTCTCGCGGCGCTCCGTCCGTTCGGAAGCTTCGAGAATTTACAGACTGCTGCTAGCGACGTATGGTGGAATCAGGCAAGGCGAGGCGTTCTTTACCGTTAAAATGATTATTTTCTCTCTCACAACTTATGATTAGTAGTGTTCCTGTGCTGGGGTCTTTGCTGATGTTGGCTGTAGGGAGAGGGAGGTAGGTCTGTCGCAATGGCTGTTATGACACAAAACGATTTCTTGAAGACTTTTGAGTCGACTCAGAAGTCACCTCCATGACACAGCGCGATTTCTTGAAACCTGAACGCATGTCGCCTATTTTCTGGTGCCTAAACAAGAAAGCCAGACATAGCTATGTTTGCCCTAATGACTCGCGTCTTGTGCCAGGTGGACATCGCTGGTTGGCTGGAAGCCTTTAGTGCCCATCCCAGGATTGGTGACGTGGCATCGTTGAAAAGAAAGTTCTCCACGCAGCAGTGAGTGATTTGAGGCAATAGTGAAGGAAAGCTGCAAGAATTTGGATGATTAAGTGTAAATGGCTGTCGTCGTGAGTGACTGATGGTTGCACTTGATGGTAAATGGTGATGACCATGGGGGATGAATATTTCGTGGACGTTGCAACATATGCGGTCGGGAGCTTTTACACATGAACTCAATGCACGTTTTTCCCCTGTTTTTTAAAACAAATATCCATGTAATGACATCCCACCACCAGATGGTCACAGGGCGAGCAAGCAGCGGCCATGCAATCATCTGATGACGCCTTTTTCCAGGCATGCGCGCATCCCCTTCCAAGTCAATTTGAGCGTGCTTATTCACAATTTACCCTTCTATGCGTCTATTTATTCCATGTTGCACGAGTCAGTTCTCAGCTGCATCACACCCTGCATTCACACATCACTATTTGCGTGCTTTGGAGAGATGGTGCCTGATAAGCCAATAGCAAAGCAAATTAAATTAACCTCTCCTGCCTTTTTGCCTATCCCCATTCAGGAATGGCTGAGTAACGAATCGTTCTCCCCATTCATTTCCTCGCCATGAGCAATGATTTGGCCACACTTTCATGACATGGCAAGCCTGTAGCAGAAGCGCCGTTTGCAATCAATGGAATCATGTGCATGCATGCATGCTTGCTTGTGTGTGCCTGGCTATCCCTTTTCAGGAAATGGCAGAATGCAATCAACGCTACGAGCGACGGTTCGGCCACATCTTCATCATCTGTGCTCAGGGCAAGCCGGCCGCAGAAATACTCGCTGCACTCAAGGTGATTGGCAGGGCACTCAGCTTCTTCTGTCTCTGGAAATGGCTGAGAGCAGGCAGACGAGCAGCGCTTTGGCCACATCTTCGTCATCTGTGCTCAGGGCAAGCCGGCCGCAGAAAATACTTGAGCAAGCGAGCCTAAAAAATACTTGAGCAAGCCTGCCTAAAAAATACTTTCTGCATTGAAGGTGAACCTGTAGACCCTCCTTTTTCTCCATGTGCACGACTAGCTGTAGACATCTTATTTTGCAGTGCTCTTTTTCCTTCTTTGGTGCCAATTTTTAATTTAGTCTGGTGCTCAATGATTCCGCGATCCCCCGTTCACGCAGGAGCGCATGGGGAATCAGCCGATATACGAACTGCAGATAGCGGCCAAGGAGCAAGAGAAGATCACCCAGTTGAGGCTGGAGAAACTGCTTCTGGATGCTCCCACTGCTGCTCTTGGCACAGGTGGGTCATCTTGAGTCAAATCAAACGTCACCTTAGTTGGAGGCGACTAATAGATCACACACAAACTGCTTCAAAAGTTTACTTTTGAGTCGACTCAAAAGGCGCCTCAAAAGTTGACTTTTGAGTCGATTCAAAAGGCGCCTCAAAAGTTGACTTCAGAGTCGACTCAAAAGGTGCCTCAAAAGTTATCTGGATCGACTCGGAGATCACACTGCTGAGGCTCGAGAGACTGCTGGTGGATGCTCCTCCTGCTGCTGTTGAAGGTTCGTTTCACCAGCTCTTGGGCTGAAATTTTATTACCCTGCTCTCATTATCGATTTGAGATTGTTAGTAACCGCACCCTCTCCCTATACGTGCCACTGGTAACTGGTGCGAATCTGAGATTCTAATCTCACTACCGTCTACACACGTCGCACTCCCCTCCACCGCTCCCTCCCATCCTCTCTCTCCCCACTTCCCCCTCCTGTACATCCCATGTGTATGCTCTCCCTCCATCCCATCCCAGTCCCTTCCCCCGCGTCCTCCCGCCTGGCTAGAGTCGCAGCACACATTGCACCAGGTGTGTGTGTGTGTGTGTGTGTGTGTGTGTGTGTGTGTGTGTGCTTCTTTGTTCAAGTTTTGACCACCTCCCAAAGTTTTCCTGAGGTGCCTTCAAGGTTTCTTTATATCTGCCCGCCTGGCTAGAGTCGCAGCACACATCTCACCAGGTGTGTGCTTCTGACTTGCTCTGGTTTCACATTAGTAGCACGTTGAGTCTCCTCAACCCTTGCTCTCTAAGTTACCTTAGGGACGGCTTAGAAGTCCTTCAGCGTCAGTAGGCGCTCCAGCCGCAGTCCACCTACTGGAGTCTAGGTGGCTTTTGAGTCGACCCAAAAGTCACTGCAGCCCTACCCTCTACAGTCCAGCTCGCTACAAGCACCAACGCTGCTGATGTTACAGCAGGGGTTCATTACACTCCTTACCTTGCCTCCCCCTTATTCACCAGGTGTGTCAACTGAAATCGTACCAAATCCAATCACTACAGCCACAAGCACCAAACCTCCCACTCGACGAAATTTGGACTGCCCTGCATGTGGTCTGGCATGAAGATGTTTTTTTTAGAATTCTCAAAAAACACCTGCGGCAGGAAGAGTCTCTATTCTTTAGGCGCCTCACGAAATTTTGAGGCGCCTAAAAAACCACCTCCCATTCGACGTAATTGGGACCGCCTTGATCTGGCTTGAACGTGGCCACACCACCCCTGAACCATCCCTGAAGCTGCTGAATTGATTTTTGAGAATTCTCTTAAACCAATTCATCCGACCCCCCTCCCTTTCTTGCTTCACCATACTCAGCAGGTGTTCCAGCCACACCTGTACCCGCTACAGTCACGCCCGCTACAATCCCACCAGCTACAAGCACCATGCCTCGTTCCATCTCCACAAACGTGCTCGATGTGGCTCTAGGCAAACCCACTGCTGGGATCAAAGTGGCGCTGGAAAGGAAGTGGTTGCGCCACCCTTACACCAACCCTGAACCAACCCTAAAGCCACTGCTGCTGTTCTCCCTCCCTTTCATGCTTCCCCATGCTCATCAGGTGCTCCATCTGCAGCGGTCCCCGTTACAGTAATACCCGCTACAAGCACCAAGCCTCGCTCCATCTCCACACACGTGCTAGACGTGGCTCTGGGCAAACCCGCTGCTGGGATCAAAGTGGTGCTGGAGAGACAGACAGATGCCGGATGGGAGAGTAGAGGGAGAGGAGAGGCAGGGAGCGGAGCGGGAGGGAGCGGACTTGGTCGGGGTGTGGGGTTGGAATGGGAGCGAGTGGGTGAGGGGGTGACTAATGCGGATGGCAGGGCTGCTGATTTGCTTGCTAGGAGCGAAGACGAGGAAGACGGGGTGAAGGCTGGAACTTACCGGCTGAGCTTTGCGACAGGGGAGTATCTTGGTCGGTTGCATGGAGCGAGAGGGAGTGGGAAAGTTCAAGGTGGTATGGGGAGTGGTGGTGTTGGCAGCGGTGGTGTTGGCAGTGGTGGTGTTGGCAGTGGTGGTGGTGGCAGTGGTGGTGGTGGCAGTGGTGGTGGTGGCAGTGGTGATAGTGGTGCTGCTGGTTCGAGTGGGGGTGTTGGTGGTTTCTTCCCCAGCGTGTCAGTTGCGTTCCGAGTGCTCCCAGAGCAACAACGGGAGCACTTCCACGTGCCGCTCCTACTCTCGCCGTTTTCTTACTCAACCTACAGAGGCAGCTGACGGGCTTGCTTGCATGCTTCTACTGATACCTAGTTGAGACTTGTTGCATGATTCTAGTGTACCAGTGAGTGGGAGTGGGGATGGTTTTGTCCCCAGTGCGGATTATGGTGCAAGTGCTTCCCCACAGGAGTGAAGGGAGCTCTCCAGGGCTCAAATTTGAAGGGTGTTTCACCCTGATTACCCTTGCCAGCGGCCGCTTTTTCAGGATTACCCTGATTTTGTAAGGCCAATTTTTCTCTGACCCTTTCTCAGAAAGTGTAAGGAAAATTTTACCCTGTTGTAGCAAGAGTGTTCGTCTTATTACCCTGACCAATCAGGGTGCGCCAAAAAACACCCTGAAACAGATAACTCCCACCCTCGAAATATGCCAACTGTTGAATCTGCCACGCAGGCAGGCAGCCCCGCCCACCTACACCGAATCCCGCGGCACTTCGCACCAACAGATTTTCGTTTTGGCCGCTCCCTCCCCCAGTGTCTCTGTTCCCTGCCTTCGTCTCTCTCGCTCGTTCCCAGCCTTGTTAGTCTCTCGTTGCTCCCATACTCTCTCGCTGCTCCAGTAGTCTCTCGCTGCTCCCGTAGTCTCTCTCTGCTCCCGTAGTCTCTCTCTGCTCCCGTAGTCTCTCGCTGCTCCCGTAATCTCTCGCTGCTCCCTTAGTCTCTCGCTGCTCCCTTAGTCTCTCGCTGCTCTCTTACCGTAGTCTCTCGCTGCTCCCTTAGTATCTCGCTGCTCCCTCAAGGCGTATTCCTGAGGTAGCACCAGAAACAGATTCGAATTCAGACTTGCACGGTAAAGTAAGGTGCAAGAGTGAAATGAGGTTTGGTTCGGTTCGGATTTGCGCGGCTTTGATTCTGATTTTGTTTCTGATGCTAACTCATGAATACGCCCTTAGTCTCTCGCTGCGCATGCGAGTTAAAACTAAGGGCGTAAGGGCGTATTCATGAGCGAAATGAGTCGAAACTCACGAATATGCCCTTAGTCTCCCGCTGCTCTGTTAGTCTCTCGCTCCTCCCCCTGCGCATCACCATGTCCTTGCCCCTGCGTTTCCTCCCCTTCAGCACCTCCAGCAGCAGCTTCATCCGCGGAAGGAAGGAACACTGTAGCTGTTACTGCCCTCACCGCTGTTGCTGTATCTCTGAAGTGGTGCAATGCTGACGGAAGTAGCTGAAGTAGGAGAGGCTATTGATTCTTTGCTGTAGTGATCCTGCTTGTATGCTTGCTAGTAAGAAGTTGAAATTGTAGTAGCTGTTAACCGCGCAGTGGACAGGGTGATGGCATTAGTACCCTGACTCAAACAGGGTATTGACTAGTTTTTACGAATTCACCCTGATTTTCAAAGGGTGCTGAAAATTCCACCCTAGGAGACAGGGTATTTCTGTTGCGGTACCCTGATTCCCAAGGGTGCCTCTAAACCAATTTTGAGCCCTGGAGCTCTCCCCTTACAGGTGTCCGGGCAGAGCTCTGTGGACGGTGCAGGTAGACCTGCTCGTGTAGGCTGCCCTGAAGAAAAGCAGTGGAGAAGTCGAGGGAGTGGAGCTCGTAGTCATGCTAGCCATCTTTGGGCGAAGGTCTGAAAGAAGTCCACACCCTCGTAGTCATGATGCCTCTAGTAACGTAGCGCACCTTGAAAAAAGGCGGCTCTCCTGGGAGAGGACAAAAGTCCAGTCTGAGTACACATATAAAGGACAGTACAAAGTCAAGGCCCTAGCAAGTGAGAGGCTACAGGAACTAGACCAAGCTGTACACAGTGCCGCTGATGATCTTTAGGCGCAAACGCCTTTGTATAGATATCAGCTGTGTTGGCACCTGAGGCCAAGTGTACTACGCGAGCCTGGCGTCGCTGCTGTAGCTCGCGCAGGAGGAAGTACCGCAGCTGGATATGCTTCGCTCTGCCCTCTAGTCGAGGCTCCTGGTAAAGGAGGATCATGGCCCTGTTGTCAGCGAACAGGACCGGGGCAGAGCTAGGCCGCTCACCTAAGTCAGTGAGCAAGAAGGTCAGCCAGCGGAGCTCCTGTGCCGCCATGGCACCAGCGTAGATCTCGGCCTCACAGCTGGACTGGGCAACAGACGAGGAGCGGGTAGCTCTCCACGAGACAGCACCTGAACCAAGGCTGAAGCAGTAGCCCTGGGAAGACCTGAGTGTCTCGGCGTCGTCTGCCCAAGAAGCGTCTGTGTGTCCAGTAAGGACCACTGGCCTACGTCCTCCTAGCACTAACCCCATGCCTGATGTACTAGCAAGATAACGCAAAACCCTCTTAGCGACAGACCAGTGCTGCGGTCGATGTCTGCCTGTGGCCTCAAAGCGAGCCAGGATGCTGAGAGGGTATGCGAGATCTGGGCGAGTGCAAGTCATCAGGTACATGAGGCAACCCACCAGCTTTGCATAGGGGCCACTGGGCTCTACCGACTCCTCAGAAACTGGAGCAGAGAGTCTGTGGTCTACAGGCAGAGGGGTGGGCTGTGCAGAGGAGAAGTGAAGGCCGAACCTCTGAAGGACCTGGCGCACCAAGTGTGACTGAGTCAGGGTGATGGTGCGCGCAGCTCTGTCCCTGGAGATCTGCAAGCCAAGGTAACGGCGCAGTTCTCCAAGGTCAGTGCACGTGTGTCTCTTCAGCAGCTCTGCCTTCACTGAGGCCAGTGCGTCCCTGTTTGCTGTGGCAAAGACCAGGTCGTCGACGTAAACAAGGATGTAGAACGAAGTCTGGCCAGCACGAACGAAGAGTGAGGGGTCTGCGGAAGACGGAAAGAACTGCAGTTCAGCAAGGGTAGCACGCAGCGTGTCGTGCCACTCACGGGGAGCTTGGTGCAGGCTGTAGACGGGGCGCCGCAGGAGCCACTAGGTCCCAGGAGGGAAGGTGCCAGTAAAGCCCTGAGGGCGACGCAAGTAGACCTGCTCGTGTAGGCTGCCCTGAAGGAAGGCAGTGGAGAAGTCGAGGGAGTGAAGCTCGTAGTCACGCTGAGCAGCTAGGTGTAACAGAACCCAAAGAGTAGTCATCTTTGGGGTCGGAGAGAAGGTCTGGAAGAAGTCCACCCCCTCACGCTGACTGAAGCCTCTAGCCACGTAGCGCGCCTTGAACACAGGCGGCTCTCCAGGAGGGCGCTTCGCCTTGAAGAGCCAGCGGCCATCGACTACGTTCACCCCAGGCGGGGGAACTGCGTCGACGAAGGTGCCGGTGGATCTCCAAGATGCCATCTCCTACTCCATGGCAGCTATCCACTGCGAGGCCCAAGGTCCCAAGGTCACCTCAGCGTAAGTGCGAGGGGTCGGGATGTCGAAAGTGTCGGGGTCACCCTCAGGGACTAGCAGCATGGAACAGAGATGGGGAACAGCCCCGGACAGGAAAGCAAGCTCGAACTGGCGGTCCTCCAGGACGTCACTGCCGAGGGCAGGAGCACCCCCGACAGACGGAGGACAGGCACGGTCAGAGACCAGAGCGGTGGCGTAGTCAAGGCGGCGGGTAGAGGCGAAGTCAGCGACCGCAGCTACAAGAGCGTCAAGATACGAGACCGGAACAGACGAGTCGGTAACGAGAGAGGCAAGGACCCGAGGAGCAAGAGGACGAGCGGCATGCAGGTAGTCAGACAAAGGGGGGGGTGCAGCAACAAGGGAGGACGGAGGAGGCGATGGGAGAAGGGGAGAACGAGACGCGTGGGAACAAAGCAAAATAGGGTGGGAGCACGAGACAGGGGAGACATGACGAGCATGGGAGGGACGGCGAGACCAGACGTGAGACGGAGGAGTCGGGTCAGGGGACAGAGGAGGGGACACAGGGGGGGAACGAGGGGGAAGACGAGCCGGGGACGAGTCCGACGGAGGGAACACAGGGCCGTAGACGGGAAGAGGAGGAGACGGCCGGAGAGGAACCGACGCAGGGTCAGGGGACGGAAGGCCGAGTAGGCGAAGGTCTGACATCGGCTGGGACTGCTGCTGCGGCGGCACAACGCCGACACCGGGACCGCAAGCTGCTCCTCGGCTACCACCGGCACACTCCACGCCAGCACCCCCAGAGGGAACGCCCCCAGGGCCCGAAACCCCTCGAGGAACGGTACCACTCCCAGGGCTACCGGGACTAGCACGCACTCCAACGCCAGCACCCCCAGAGTCAACGAACGGGTGCTGCGACGGCGGCGACGGCAGCGACAACGACGGCGGCGGCGGCGGCGGCGGAGGTGACAACGGCTGCGACAGCAGGGGCGACGGCGGCGGCAAAGGCGGTGGAGGAGGGGACGCCTGGGGAGGGGCAGTCGGGGAGGACTGTGCCGCAGGACCACCAGAGTCAGAAGACTCCTCAACCGGGACCACCGACGGAAGAGGGGTGACGTGGGACACACCAGAGGGGGCAGGACGGGGAGGAGGAGGGGGGGGGGCAGGGACTACCGGGGAAGGAGTGACCAGGAACAGAGGGGGGGTAACTGGGGGAGCGCGGTGGGGGAAGCGACGGTAGTAGGAGACGGACTCGTCAAAGGTGACGTCACGAGAGTGAAAGAAGCGGTGAGACGGCGGGTGGTAGAAGTGCCTGTCGGACGCGTCAAGGGGAAAACCGAGGAAGACGCACGGAAGGGTGCGGGCAGTGAGCTTGTCCGTGCCGGAGGCACAGACGTGAGCAAGGCAGCCCCAGACGTGGAACGCAGATGCGTCACCAGGAGACCCAGTCCAAAGACGGGTCGGCGAAACCTGCGGCTGCTGGGGGTGCGGCCACAGGTTAAGCTGGTGAGAAGCGTAGCACACAGCGAACGGCCACAGAAAATGGGGTGCACCGGTATGGATCATGGAGGTGCGAGCCACCTCCATGACCAAACCGATGCGTCGCTCAGCGACCCCATTCTGCTGTGGGGAGTCTGGTAGGGTGAACGTCTGGGTGATGCCCTCCGCACGACAAAAGCGACCAAGGACACCTGAGGCAAACTCGCCACCACGGTCGGAGTGAAGATGCAAGACAGGGAGACCTCGGTGGACACGGGCAGAGACAAGCCAGGGGATGAGAGCGTCAGGCACGTCAGCCTTACGCTCCAGGGGAAAGACCGAGGTGTAGCAAGTGAAGTCGTCGACAAGCACAAGGAAGTAGCGCTCTCGACGCGGCCCATGGATGGGGGCGGGGCCCCAGACGTCCATGTGCAGGGTCTGCAGCGGCGCGGCGGTAGGGGGAAACGAGGAGGAGTGAGGGGCACGGCGAAGACGACCCTCGACGCAAGGCGTGCAAGGTGGGGCTGGGGAGGAGGGAAAAGCAAGGAGAGAACCAGGGAGACCAAGGACGAGACCGTGCTGGGACTTGTGACGCAGAC